GGGCTGCACCGGCCACTCTGCCCGCGGCTGTGGCCTGGCTGGACCTGGATGTGTATCCCTTACTCTAGCGACACCTGCGGGAGATGTGGATCCCCCCCAATGCACCTGCCACTGCTTTCCCCCCCGGCCCCCGCCCCGGGCCTGTGCCGCTGCGTGTGTGGGAGGTACCTTTTGTCCAGGGCCTGCATCTGGTTCTGGAGACCAGAGAACTGCGAGGAGGAAGAGGAGGCTGTGGGCTGGACCTAGGCCCGGGTCTGGCACCTGGCCCTGGAGTCTACCCAGCTCTGGCACCACTGGCCCCTGGGAGCTCTGGGCCTGGACAGCAGGGGTGAGCTGGGCTCCAGGCCCAGAAGCAGCTGCCCCCAACACCCAGGAAAGGGGCAGCTCGACCTGCGGGTGAGGGAGCCGCTCACCTCCGGCGCCTCCTTCTCAGGGGCCTGGGCTGCCGGCCGCACCTCCTGCTGCAGCTGCCTCAGCTCTGAGCCCTGTAGCTGCACGCGGGCCCGCACCTGGAGCAGCTCCCGCAGCAGGCTCCGTGTGGCCTCAGCCTTCCAAGTAGCTGGGACTACAGGAGCCCGCCACCACGCCTGGCTAATTTTTTGTATTTTTAGTAGAGATGGGGTTTTTCCACGTTAGCCAGGCTGGTCTTGAACTCTTGACCTTGTGATCTGCCTGTCTTGGCCTCCCAAAATGCTGGGATTACAGGCGTAAGCCACTGCGCCCGACTGGCCTGAGCTTTTGAAATGGGGCATGTATGGCTGAGGAACTGAGTTTTAAATCGTCTACAGCTGTAGCTGATTTCAATGGACACGGCCGTGATGGTTGGGGTGTCCTCCTCGGCCCTCTGGGCGGCCCCCACCGAAGGCTGGGCCTGGTGGTACCTGCATCCTGGCCACCTCCAGGTCCACCCTCCGGCTGCTGTCCTCCTGGTTCTTCTGCAGGGCGCCGCAGGCCACCTCCCGGCCCTGCTCCTCCTGCTGCAGCAAGTCGGTCAGCTTGGCCAGCCTAGAGAAACCGGCTGCAGTCACACCAGCCCAGCTGGCCGGAGGACCCAGCAGGGTGAGGCTGACCCACAGGCTGGCCAGGCAGGAGGTGTACGACCCCCACCCCCTGCCCCCAGGAAAACAGAGGAACGAGAAACACAGCACTGGTGGTGGGGAAGGGCTGCTGTGAGTCTCTTCCCCACGGAGGGTCCCCAGCGGGCCCAGGCTCCCAGCACACTCGGCACTGAGGGCGGGTGCCCCGCTGGGTCACTGGGGACACACGGCAGGGGGACCCGTGTCTTGGCTGGGCCAGGGACTCTCAAACGACCCCAGGCAAGCTCCAGAGCCAGCCGCGGGCG